TTCGTTTTCATATAAATTTTGATGTTTTTTGTATTCCTAGTACTTTATTAATTAAAAAAAAAAAGTTGTGTTTTATCAAAAATTTACATAATAAAATTATTTAAAATTATATCATATAAAATATATAGTTTCGGAAAATAAAACATATGATTTTCAGTATTTTTTTCCAAGAATTAAATTGTGCAGTGAAAGAGGAATGGTTAAAAATACCTTACGAAGCTTTAAAAAAATTCATTGAAAGCATGTCAAGAAAATTGAGCCATGCATTTCTAATAATGGGTGATCCACTAGATATTGGTTTTTTTTCAATTGACTTTTTGAAGATCTTTTCAAAAAAAAGTATTTCGATTTTTTTTTAATTAATAAAGTACTAGGAATACAAAAAACATCAAAATTTATATGAAAACGAACAAGAAATTAGGCTATCTAATCTTAAAATTTTATGTATTTCTATTATATAGAATTTTTCGTAATTGACGAAAAACAAATTTTTGTCAAGGTAGTGTATATATATTTATTAATTACAAATAACATTTTATAATTTAATAATAAAACAAATTAATTCTTTTATGGTTTAATTGTCCGTTAGGTTTTCGCTCACAGTTGTGTTTTTCCATTTTTTCCAGAAAATTTTCATGGGCGAAATCAGGCCTAAATCAAAATTGCCTAAATGTCTAAACCATGAATTAGTTCCGGCCACCATCACCAGACTTGTGTCTTGAATTATGTCTTGCATCACGAATTGCGTTTGCATCTCTTTTACCACGAATTGTGTTTTGCATCACGCACAACACCAATTGTGGCCTTTAAACCATATAACTGTTTCGATTTTTTATATTTAATTAATAAAGGTTGAATAAATTTATCTAAATCGTAAAATTTTCTTATTAACTCGAAATCAACCCGAAATTTTCGGGTCGATCTCGGGTTTGCCTTTAATATCATTAATTAAAATATTCGGATTTGTCACCTAACCCGTCGAACCCGACCCGTTCGGAGCTTTACTTATTATTCACCTCACATGGATTAAATTTAATGATATCATTAGGCATAGAGGAAATTTTTTGATTATTAAAAGGTTGAAAAATATTTT